TAATTCTAGTTGGCTCAAGTATGACAAAGATCGCGATAACATAAAATTTGTTGAGCTCTGTAGAAATATGATATGATTTGATATGATTTGATATGTAAATATTATATAATTATGATTAGGATTTGATAGGATATGATATTATCATAATGAGCCATTAATGCAGAGGCTCCTCTCACTTGTATATATATGTGTATACTCTGATCAATGAAATACAAGAGAATTATTTTCCATATTATTCTATTTCCTACATGGTATCAGAGCGTGGGAATTTTCTTTCTGGGTGTTAATTTTCGGTTGCTACAGTACCGCCGCCGCACTGTTCACTCGGCGTCCGTACAGTCCGTACGCCTGCGCTGTTCATCGACTTTTCCGGCGCACTGCACTGTTCACTCGGCGTCCGTACAGTCCGTACGGTTTATTACTTTTTGGCGTTCTGTTTCGTTTCTGGCGCATCTCCGGCACGCTGTTTGTGCAATTCAGTTCTGTTTGCAGCTCCCTGTGTAGCTGTTGGCCTTTTCACTGCCTTGGTATTCATTAGGTAATCCAGGTATCGTGCTTTGTGTTCCTGTGTAACACTCTTTCGCATTCCCTTTGGTTAGTGCACTTCATCTATGGCGGAAATTAAATCTGTCTCGGAGCTTGTCCCAACTATTACTAAAATTACTGATCACAAGTTGACTTGGGTAAATTATTTGGATTGGAGTAAAACCATTCGCCTCTATCTGCGGAGCATTGAGAAGGAAGACCATCTGACTGATGATCCTCCAACAACTGATTCCAAAAAGACCTGGTTGCGGGATGATGCACGGCTATTTTTCCAGATCCGTAATTCCATTGACAGTGAGATTATTCCCTCTATTAATCACTGTGAATTGGTTAAGGAACTAATGGATTATTTAGATTTTTTGTATTCAGGAAAAGGAAATATCTCTCGTGTTTACGAGGTCTGCAAAGCTTTCTATCGTTCTGAAAAACAGGATCGTCCTCTCAAAGCCTACTTTATGGACTTTAAAAGGATGTATGAAGAACTGAATGTGTTAATGCCTCTTACTGCTGATTTGAAGGTTCAGCATAAGCAACGGGAGCAAATGGCTATTATGAGCTTTCTTACTGGTCTCCCACCTGAGTACGACACAGTTCGGTCTCAAATCTTATCCGGATCTGAAATTTCTGACCTTCAAGATGTGTTTTCCAGAGTAATGAGAGCTGAGAATCTCTTGCCACCAGCTGCTAGTATTCCTACAAGTGCCTTGCTCAGTAAGGGCACCTATGAGACTCGTAGTCCTATTGATAACCGCGGGGGGCCTACCCGTGGTGGTTCGAAGCAAGGGGGAGCCCCTTCTGACTCCAGTGGGGTAGTGTGTTATTACTGCAAAGAACCGGGGCATACAAAACGCACATGTCGAAAACTTCAGAATAAACAGCAACGGAATAACTCTGCCCACGTGGCTACACAAGCCAGTGACACAGTCACGATTTCTGCTGCTGAGTATGCCCAGTTAAAATCTACTACACCGTCTGTGAGTGCCGCAGCTACAACAGGTAATAATGCTACTGCCCTTGCTTCTTCTTCCTCAAAGTGGATCATAGATTCCGGGGCTACTGATCATATGACAGGTAACAGCCATCTCTTCTCCTCTTATAATGCTTTTGCCAATCCGTCAAGTGTTTCCATCGCTGATGGTTCCCAGTCTCAAGTTCTCGGTTCTGGCACTGTTAATCCCACACCCTCTATCCGTTTGTCATCTGTGCTAAATGTTCCTAAACTTGCTTTTAATCTCCTATCTCCCAGTAAACTCACCCGTCAACTAAACTGTTGGGTCTCACTTTTTCCTTCTCATTGCTTGATACAGGATCTTTTGACGAGGCGGATTATTGGTAGAGGTTATGAATCTGGCGGGCACTATATACTGGATGATCGGGTGTCTCATGCGGTAGCTTGCGCTAGCAGTCATTCTCCCTTTGAAGTTCATTGTCGATTGGGTCATTTGTCTCTATCTTCTCTTAAGAAAGTTTATCCTCAATTTCAGCATTTGTCGTCTTTAGATTGTGAGTCATGTCAGTTTGCCAAGCATCATCGTCTTCCTTTAGTGTCTCGTGTCAATAAACGGGTTTCATCCCCTTTTGAGTTAGTCCATTCTGATGTTTGGGGTCCTTGTCCTGTAGAGTCCAAAGCAGGGTTTAAATACTTTGTTACATTTGTTGATGATTATTCCCGGACAACTTGGTTATATTTAATGAAACATCGTTCTGAATTGTTTTCCCATTTTTGTGCCTTTTGTGCTGAGATTAAAACTCAATTTAATGTTTCTATTCGCACCTTACGAAGTGATAATGCTAAAGAATATCTCTCTGCTTCGTTCCAATCTTACATGCTTCAAAATGGTATACTTCATCAGTCGTCTTGTGTCGATACACCAGCTCAAAATGGTGTTGCAGAAAGAAAAAATCGCCACCTACTTGAGGTGGCCCGTGCACTTTTGTTTCAAATGCAGGTTCCTAAACCATTTTGGGCTGACGCGGTCTCCACTGCCTGCTTCCTTATTAATCGAATGCCTTCCTCTGTTCTTGATGGTAACTCTCCTTTTTCTACCCTCTTTCCTTCTAAGCCTTTGTTCCCTATTGCTCCTAAGATATTTGGGTGTGTCTGTTTTGTGCGGGATGTACGTCCATCTATTTCAAAGTTAGACCCCAAGTCTCTTAAATGTGTCTTCCTTGGATACTCTCGGGTCCAAAAAGGTTATCGTTGTTTCTCACCTACTCTCAATCGTTATTTAGTATCTGCAGATGTCACCTTTCAGGAGTCCACACCATATTTCTCGCATTCTTCCCCACCTGCTCCACCTGCGGAGGAGGATGACCTTCTAATATACTCTGTCACCTCACCATCACTGTCGTCGCAAGCACCCGCTCCCGCACTCGTTCAACCCTTTGATCGTGTGTATACACGACGGTCAACGGAGATTACTACCGCCACGCCAGCTTCTATTCCTCCCTGGTCCGCCTCGCCCTCAGATCCTGAGTTGAGCAACACTGAACCTCGTTCTGACCCTAATCCCGAGACACCTCCTGTTCCAGACCCGGATGCCTCTCTTGATCTACCCATTGCCCTTCGCAAAGGTAAACGTACTTGTGCCCATCCTATTTCGTCCTTTGTTTCATATGACCGCTTGTCTCCTGTGTCCAGTTCCTTTGTTGCCTCCCTAGATACTATCTCTGTGCCCAGAACTATTCGTGAAGCCTTGGCCCACTCAGGTTGGCGTGCTGCAATGGAAGAGGAGATGGCGGCCCTTGATCGAGCTGGTACATGGACCCTGGTCGATTTACCGGCGGGTAAAAAGGCCATTGGATGTAAATGGGTGTTAACTCCGAAAACTAAGGCTGACGGCACACTTGACCGCCTTAAGGCTCGCCTTGTGGCTAAAGGTTATGCACAAACCTATGGCATTGACTATTCCGAAACCTTTTCTCCTGTTGCTAAGCTCTCATCTGTCCGTCTGTTCATCTCTCTGGCTGCTACTTATGATTGGGATCTACATCAATTAGACATTAAAAATGCATTCTTACATGGTGATCTTCATGAAGAGGTCTATATGGAGCAACCACCTGGGTTCGTTGCTCAGGGGGAGCATGGGAAAGTATGTCGCCTTAAGAGGTCCTTGTATGGTTTGAAGCAAAGCCCTCGTGCATGGTTTGACCGGTTCAGTACTGTCGTACAGAAATTTGGCATGAGCCAAAGCAAGTGCGATCATTCTGTATTTTATCAAAGAACAGCGGCTGGCATGATTCTCTTGGTGGTATATGTAGATGACATTGTGATCACAGGCAGTAATGGTTCGGGCATCTCGTCCCTCAAGTCCTTTCTTAATTCCCACTTTCAGACGAAGGATCTGGGCTCTCTGACATACTTTCTAGGTATTGAAGTTATGCGAAGCAAGAAGGGCATATTACTGACACAGCGCAAATATGTTCTTGACCTCCTGAAGGAAACTGGAAAGTTGGGAGCAGCACCGACTAAGTTTCCTATGGTTCACAACCCACTCCTTGACGCTGATGGGAGCATACCACTAGATGATTCTCTTGATGATGAGAAACGGATGCTTGAGGCTCAGAAGAGCAAACCATTTGAGAATCCTGAGAGGTACAGGAGAATGATTGGCAAGTTAAACTATCTCACTGTAACTCGTCCGGATATTACTTATCCAGTCAGTGTACTAAGCCAGTTCATGGCATCCCCGACTGTCAGACAGTGGGAAGCCTTGGAGCACGTGTTACATTATTTGAAGGGATGTCCAGGTCGTGGGATATTATACAAAAATCATGGCCATACAGACATTGAGTGCTTCTGTGATGCGGATCATGGTGGATCAAAGGCCACGAGACGGTCTACTACAGGATACTGTGTCTTTGTGGGCGGGAATCTGGTGTCCTGGAAAAGCAAGAAACAAAATGTGGTGTCCAGATCGAGCGCAGAGGCAGAATACCGAGCTATGGCACAGTCTGTATGTGAGATAATCTGGATATATAAGCTATTAAAGGAAGTTGGCCTCAAAACCACTTTGCCAGCAAAGTTGTGGTGTGACAATAAAGCTGCCCTACATATAGCCTCCAATTCTGTGTTCCATGAACGTACCAAACATATTGAGATTGATTGTCATTTTATCAGAGACAAGCTTAAGGAGAACTTCATCTCCACTGGATATGTGCGTTCTAGTGATCAATTAGGCGACCTTCTCACTAAAGCTCTAAATGGGACTCGTGTTGACTATCTGTGTGACAAGTTGGGCATGCTTAACATTTATGCTCCAACTTGAGGGGGAGTGTAGAAATCTGATATGATTTGATATGATTTGATATGTAAATATTATATAATTATGATTAGGATTTGATAGGATATGATATTATCATAATGAGCCATTAATGCAGAGGCTCCTCTCACTTGTATATATATGTGTATACTCTGATCAATGAAATACAAGAGAATTATTTTCCATATTATTCTATTTCCTACAGCTCAAAGGCCTTTGAATAAGGGAGAAGCAACTCCATGATGATGAAGATTGTGCTTGACCATTGTATTCACAAAGTGAAAGCCTTTTTATAGCAATTTTTCTCAAATCAAGCACTTCCACAGCCTCTTTTTCGTTCAAATTCTTTGTTAGGCTTGAAAACTTTGAGCAGCCAGCAATTTTGATCATTTTTAGAGATTTCAATTTACAAACATCACATGGAAGACAAACCAGCTTTTTACAATTCTTCAAATTTAACTCCACAAGACCAATCAAATTGCCCAGTGATTGAGACAGTTTTGTTATAGCAGTCCCCTCTAAATCAAGTTTAGACAGACGTTCCATATCTTTTCCAAACTCAGGAAGTTTTATAACTCTTGAACAACCAGATAGAACAAAAGTCTCTAAGCAATTCATCTCAAATTTCCTTGGAAGGTTTTTAACTTCTCTGCAATCTTTCAAGTTAACAATGACGAGTTTCTTGTGTTGTCCAAGGGATCGGTGAATTTCAATCAAGTTAGAACACCCTTCAAGAATCAATTTTTCAAGATGAGGAATTCTATCAAAATTTGGAGTTTTGATGAGGTACTCTAAATAAGAAAGATCAATGGACTTGAGGCTTTGGAGAGACTAACAACAACAAAAAGGGAAAAATTAAGGCCTCAAAAACCAAAAACTAATTATAATTATAAATTATTAAATTATGCACAAATAATTTAAATGGAAGGGCTATAATTACTTCTTTTAACTTGCTATGTCGCATTATTAGTCCAACAAGTTGATGGAGTTGAGGCTGACTTGGCAAGTAAAATAATGGATACCCCTCCCATATTATCACTTTCAACTCTTTGGAAAGGGCCTTGAGTCCATAAGGAAGATTCAATTGAAAACGTAAAACATGTGAGCAATTTGAAATGATAAGTAACTTGAGATTACTCATTTTTGAGAAGGCTTCAGGATCCCAAAATGCATCACATGACTTTTCTAATGTGAGAATTATTCCCCGAATAGCTTCTGTCCCCTACAAAACAAGTTCAGGTAAAAATATATAAAAGTCATGGAATAAACTGTTATAAAAATAGTGCAAAAACACAAGAACTCTGGAATGTCACCTTATTGTTTTCTAATACATGATTGGCATCCTCCAAGAACAATAACCTAGAACGCTTGCCGGCATCATCAGGTGATTTTTCGTAGACAATATATTTACCCATATTTTGAAGAATTTCATGCACCCACAAATGCCCTTCATAATTAATTACTAAGGATTGCTCAATAAGAACATTTATTCCAATTTTTGGGTGAAGATCATTGTCCAAAATTTCTAAAATTTGTATGACATGATCTTGGACCATTCCATTGAAAAAGCAAGCAATATCCAATAATATAGTCTTTTGTGTAATGTCTAATCCATCAAAACTTACTTGAAGTATCTTTAAAATGTCATTTGGAGGAACTTTCTTGAACTTAGCTAGTGCATGCTTCCATTGCACTATAGTTCTTTTGCAAAGAAATGAACCTAACACTTTGAGCGCTAAAGGAAGGCCTCTAGCATATTCAATGACGGTTCTAGCAAGGTTCAAATAATCTTCATTAGGTTTATCTCCTTTAAAGGCTTTTTGAAGGAAAAGTTCAAGGGACTCATTATCACTCAAGAATTTCACATCATACTTAGTAGATACACCATGCGAGGATAGCAAATGCTTGTCCCTGGTTGTTATTATTATTATACTCCCTTTGCTGAACCATCCTTGCTTTGGAGCCAAATTTTCAAGTTGGCTAATGTCACTCACATCATCAAGGACAAGTAGAACTTTTCTATTGCGCAACATGTTTTTTATCAACTTCATTCCTTCATAACAATCACACACTTCCATACTTCTTTTCTCTAAAGAAAAAAGAAGTCTTTTTTGCAATGAAATCAAACCTTCTTTTTCATATGCCTCTCTAATATTATGAAGAAAGCAGTGAATCTCAAAGTTTTTGAGCTTTCGCTCATAAAAAGCTCTAGCAAGAGTTGTTTTGCCTATGCCTCCTGTACCCCATATTCCTATAAACCCAACTCCTCCCAATTCCCTTGCGACGATTGACTCTAATTCATCTAATTTTGGTTGAATTCCAATTAACATACCAAGGTCAGATGGCAATTCATCATCACGTAACTTTGACATGATTTCTTCAGCAATGCTTTCAATGAATTCCGTTTCATGCCTGCATAGGAAAATATAATTATACCGACATGAAAATAATTTCATTATTGAAGAGTTGCGCAGAGCTTCTAGTATTTACAGACAGACACAGGGGGTGAGAAGCTACGGTATAGTCTAGTCTTGATGGAAAAGAGATTAAGAAAGAAGATTGCTACCATTGTGTGTGTGTACACACACTTTGCGAACTCCTAAATACTGAAGCCATTTAATTATATTAACGTAAACATATGATTGTTGGAGTTCACTTTTTTTTGGTAACATGTTTTATAGTTGACCCTTGAGTAGTTTTTCTTTGTTTTATTTAAGGAACAACGTCAGATTAAAAGTTCAATATGTAACGCTGTATGGTAACATTTCCAACCATCAAAAAATAATAGATATTATTAATTATTAATAAATAAACAACGAAAGTTTTCTTTTGGACAAAAATAAACAATGAAACTTCAAAATACAGAGAAATTATTAATATTAATTTTTTAACTATTGAATTACATAATAATTATATTATGTAATTTTACTAAAAGTCAACAGACCTGCTTGATACGCTAAAGAAAAATGACCATTTCAAAATGCTATCATTGATTGAATTCAATTGAGAAACCTATTTCGTCAACAATAAATATAAACAATAGCACTACAAGTCTATTAATTTTGCTAGCAAATAAATGAACTCTAAGTTTAGTTGAATATCAACACCCTTATTTTCAACAAAATAAAAATAAAAGATTGTTATTGAGAGAAAAGTAATTACCAATTTTGTGAGTCCCAACCAGATATAGTAGCAACTTTTTCTAAAGCATCCCTCCATTTTCGCACTTTCATTTTGTCTTGTACAAATCTTTCTTCATACTTTATGAATGCCTCTGCAAAACATCCCTTTTGTTTCCTAACATCGGAGGGATCTACACGGTAAAATATTGGAAATACTTGAAGACTCAACTCTTCCTTTAACTGCAGGATCTTTTGAAGCTCATCCAAACACCAAGTTGAAGAAGCATAATTTGGGGAGAGCACCACAATTGCAGAACGAGATTCATCAATTGCTTGTACTAAACCTGGATTAATATATTCTCCCCTTTCAAGTTCTTCCTCATCCCGAAAAGTTCTCAATCCTTTGCGTTTTAAAGCAACATACAAATGATCAGTAAAATTTTTCCGACTATCTTCCCCTCGAAAGCTCAAAAACACATCATACTTCCATCTCTTAGTTGAGGCAGAAGAACTTGAAGAACACCCAACTCCATCGACATCACACGCCATCGCAAGGATCTGGAATCTGAATCCAAACAAAAATAAAAACACAAAAACAGAAAGAAGAATACATATATAATAGGAGCTTCAACAAAGAGTGCAGCAATCAGTCCAATGCGAAGCCTCTAGAGAGGCATTGGGCATATTACAACAAATAAAGTAAAAATTCAAAATCACAAAATGCTCGAAGATCTATAACAGAAACAATCCATTTCACTGAAGAAAACAACATATAATAGAAACATCAGCAGACAAGGTTCTTCCCACCGCAAGATTTCCACTCTTCGCGCATAATTTGAAAGCAAAATTTCACAGATCTAACCAAGTCATTTCAGTGATAAAAAATGTAGAAAGGAGAAAGGAAGAAAGTAGAAACCTGAAATACGAATAATATCGAAAGATTTGTTCGATTCCCACCGCCCTGATATAAGATGAAGTCCAGCAGCCAGCTACAAATTTTACAGAAAGAAAAATGAAGGAAAAATGAGAAGTGAAAATGGCGGGAGTGAGCCCACTTCCCTCAAGTCTTCCAGTCTCTGGTCGTTGACATTTCAAACCGCGTTACGGACGAGACACTGTTCTCTTTTGCTGAAGGACAGAACCATGTGACCGTACGTCAATGTTAGGGTTGCACGTGAGTAGGGTTGGGCAAGGCAAGACCCTTGCCCGATGCCCAGCCCGAAAAATGAACGGGCTTGAAAATGCAGCCCATTGCCCGGCCCTGCCCATGAAAAGTCCTAGTAAGTTCAGGCTGGACAAATGTGGGCTAGGCAGGGCGGGCTTCCATGTCCAGCAAATCAATATACTATATTACTTAACTAGTTATTTATGTTCCTCTAGATAATCTAATGTAACTTTATATTAAAATGGCAACTTGACCTTAATTTAGTTATTTCTAGTTAATATATTATGAAACAACATTTTATAGTAGCTAAGAGGAGTAAATTATGACAAACAAAAATGTTGTTAGTATACTTTATTAAATTTAATTGCTTTTCTAGTTTCTAAAATTTCTTAACCAAATGTAAATATTTTTTCCCATAACTCCCAAATACTCATAAGAGCTTGGATCAATTATACAAATTGCTAATGGTCATAATGTTTGTATTAAAAAAGAAAATGGTTATACAAATCGCAGTAAATGATAACACGTTTACTCTCAAAATCATTTGAAAATAAATAAGTATAATGACTATTGAATATTGATGCAACAATGTGTTTGATTCAGGAGATAAATATGAGACAAATAAAATATATATAAATAAAATTATATATATTTTTGCGGGCAAGGCTAAATGGGCAGGGCAGCATACCGTGCTCGATGCCCAGCCCTACCTAACAATTTGCCCAGCCCGAACATGTCCAATATATCTTTTGGGCCATTTTTTTAAAGATGGGCTGGACATTTTTTTATGGGCTTGGGCGGGCATAGCAGGCATTGGGCTCCATGAACACCCCTAGTCAATGCTTTATTGAGTTTTCCTTTTCACTTTTCAGACATTTGCATAATGTAATTACTGGAAATTAAGACAGAATTTAATTTTAAAAGACTAATTAATTCATTAGATGAAATAGCTCCACAGTGTGAGAGATTCATGATGATGCATTTATTAGAGAACTTAATTTCAAAATGCTAGCTTATTAGTAACGGCCTATAAGTAGCTTTGGGAAACATGAGATAAATATATAACAAAAGTTTTATCTTAGTTTATATAAAACATGTTTATAAATGCTTATAAATAGATTTTAGGTAGGAGATTATCTTGAAGTTATAAACTATACTTCCTGCGGTATTTCAATATGGGAAATGACAGAAAACAGCAAATTCCTGTATTACCATTTCCATAGAATTCTCCCAAAAAATGAGAAACAACTCTAAAGTATTAAAACTCTATCTTTCTCAGTTCAGCTTCACAAAGGATGTTTATCATCTTTTGCCTACTGAGTTAGAAAGGCAACACAAGAAGATTTTGGAAGGTGCTGTGCAACTTCCGAGTGATATTCAAGTTCTTGTTTTAGATATTCATTTCAAGTGGTCTCAGGTTTTACTCTTCCGTAATATCACAGTGATCCAGATTTCTTTGTCTTTTTTTTTTTTTGGCTAAGAATATAATACTACATCACTATAAATTAGTTATATTTATCTTTTGGTTTAAACTAACTTGTCTCATTTATAACTGGATACATGATCTAATGATCTACTCATATGCTATAATTAAGCAATTTAGTAAATTTTTTTCAAATTAATCAACTAGGTCATATATATATATATTAAATATTAGAGGTAATAGTAATCTAGCTGCTTTTTGTTTTTAATAATAATAATAACTCAATCTTTAGATTATAACTCGGTGCAATTCAATCCTATAATTTTAACTGAATTGTAACTTAATTTCTAAACTTTAATTTGATGCAGCTCAATTCCTATAGTTTTTTCATTTACAAATTAGTCCATGTATTTTAGAAAATAAAAATTATGGAAAATTAAAATTTTAATCTTTATAATCTCATTGAATGTATAATTAGGTCCCGCAGTTTATATCCTTTTGATTGACTCCTTGCACCGCGAATGGCGTTCCTTCTCACCATTAATTAAGTAGCTGTTATGATTTAGCCATTTCATTATCTCACTTTCTACCCCCGAAATTTAAAAAAACAAAGAAAAGAAAAGAAAAACGAGACTCCTTGTATGTCTATAAATGAGTTAAAGATTATTTGACTGTGGTGGCCTTCCATAAATTTTTTTGCTGTCATATTTTAATATTTTGATCAGAAAGTAAATTGCAAGCATGCAAATGTTGAATAAGTAGACAAAAAAATCAACGATCAAACAATAGATATCATCTTCATGTCAGTGGAGTGTTTGAGATCTGAATCGATAAAGAATATACGCCGTATGAAGAACAATAGTCGAAATTGACTCTGTTTTAGGAGTGTTTGGATATCATCCCATGCTATTATCATATTGTTTCCATGGCCTCTGTTTTTGGGGTCCGAAAACAGAGGTAAACAGAGGATCCTTTGCCTTCTGCTTGTTCCAATCGTGCATGTACATATATTACCTTGTCGAAATTTTGTTGTTCAGACATAAGCTAAATCCTCTGTGAATATTGAAAAGAAAAAAGCAAAAGTTAAGCTCAGGAGAAATCAGTGTCAAGCCTTGAAGAGTATCGGCCCTAGTTATATATTGAATGAAATTATAAAGAATAAAATTTTAATTTTCCATAATTTTATTTTCTTAGGGGGAAAAAAAAAGTTCATAGGCTTGGCAATATATATTATGCTCAAAATTGAAAAGCCCTAATTTAGGCCACGCGGCTTCATTTGTTACTATTAAGCTCATTTTAGCGCAGCGCTTTTCCCTCAATTCTGTATGTATATCAAGACATGTGATTTACATGATTAAACTTGTTCAAAATAATTTTTAACTGTTAAATTAAGTTTCAGAAGCGTAACCTCTATTAATTTCATGAAGAATAACCTGATATCTTGTTGGGTTCCCTTCACCATTTTACGATTTTAACTTCGTGGTTAGTGCTTTGAAGTTTTCTTTTCCTGATGGCAGTTGCAGCATTACAAGAGTTTGCACTTTTCCTTTTGTAACTTCGAAGGTCGAACATTACAAACAAATTACAGTGTTTTGGTCCTGCTCCGAATTACAAAACCACAAACAATAAACCAGAGAATCAAAAATGAAAACAAAAAGAAAGATAATCTTCTCACGCGACGACCCTTTTCAGTCGAATCAATGGAGGGATGCCGAGATTTGTGGTGAAGATGAACAATCTCCACAAACAAAGGTGGCTGCTACTGCGCGGCGGGGTTCTCTGCTTGGCCAAGTCTTCCCAACACGCATTTTAAACTCTACACTAACAAACACTATCTTCGATCATAAACATGTACAAGAATTTGAGTTGATTAAAAGTAAATAAATAAACTAGTAATTTATAATAAATAGATATTATCTTTGCTATTTACTAATTAAATTTATTGGTTAGAATTACTATCGTTAGAAGGACTATCTTTAAAAAATTATGTAAATATGAAAGACAAAATAAATTGAGATCTTATATTTAGGACCAAATAAAAGTCAAACAAAATCTTATATTAAGGATCAGAGGTAGTAGCAAATAATATAATATTCCTCCAGTCCTTCATATAGAATATAATTTGAGAGTTAATATTGGTCCTATATGTAAGACCCATTCACATATTTATCAATGCTTTTTAAATTAACCATAATAATATTCCTTCAATAATAATCAAATGAAAGAGGGAGGAAATAAATTAAAGAAGATGATTAAGGTATTTTGTAAAAACATATCATATTAACTAATTTAACTAATATATTTAATTTACTCAAAATAATTAATTAAGTTTTATATTAAGAATCGAAAAATGTAAGATTAGCTAATTCAAAAACAGGATAATGGTACAGTGACATTGACCATGAAGAAGAATGGAGCCATTGGAACTGAACACGAAGAGGAGGACAAAATTATTTGAATTTTTTTTAAAAAAAAATAAAGAAATGAAACCATTAATATGTACAGACCTTTGTCACGATCCTTGGTTATTTTTAATCTAACGTTTTATTTTCTCCCTTCACTCTCCCACCTCAGCCTCAATTCTATTTTCTTTCCTTTTTTCTTCATGGTTCCCTCAACCCAGAATTGTTGGCGGCAGCACCAAAATTCTCCAAGATCTAGCAGATCTTCCACCTCCTCTATAATGCTAGGCAAACCCTGTTGACAGTAACACCTGTAGAGAACGGTAAATTCGAGTCGTGTCTTACAGACACTGTCCTTAAGAGCTATTCTGCAACTACCGGCAAAGCAAGAAGCGGCACTCCCCAGGATTAAACGGATTCTTCCTGTAAGAACAGGGTGAGCAGAACAGCAAAAGATAAAAGAACTCAGTAAGGCAGAACACCAGAGGAGGGAAGAGAGTTGCCAGAAAGCTCAGAGCACGGCGGTTCCACTTTGAACTTCCGTCTCATGCCCCTTTTATAGGCTACGGATCACAACACCATTGGGCACATTTAAACGCGTTTAATGATAATTAACTCATAATTAAATGAGCGGTTTCAAGTAGTAATTAACTTGTTTAATGACTATTTAAGAAGAATAAAGTCTTCGGTTACGAATATTAAAGAGGCATAATTATAATTAAAATTTAGATAGATATTTCCAATAAAGTGCCCAGTACTGCATTTGACTCATGCACAAGGGGGTGAGGGGAAATGGCCGGATTTGTCTCCGGTGGCCCATTGTGCGCATAAGTCCACTCCTCCTCTTGGCTCATTTGGCAGCCCAAAACCACTTATTACTTGGACCCTCACAATCCCAAGCAATCTGGGACTCTTCCTTTGACACACCCACACATATTATTTACAACAATCCCCCACATGTGTCAAAGGAAGTACCTTTAGTTGAGTTACACACATGAGTATAACCATTGTATCTGGTGGTCCTTTGGACTTAAAACCAGACCTAGACCAATAACACTTAGTACACAGAGATGTTGGTGGTCCTATGAACTTAAAACCAACACTACTAGAGGCATTATTAGTCAGATTATACCCCCACATTTCCGCTGTTAACGGCGTTTTTGCGCATTAAGACGGCCATGCTCGTGCCTGGTGAATGAATGCTTTAGAGATTTTGCCACGATCTCATAGGAGCGGCCTCACTCCACATTCGTAGAGGTGATTTCATTAAATGTACCTGCAATGAGCACATCATCCCGTAGGATTATGAAATCATTAAGAGCTTTCACTCAGCCTCACCAAAATGCATTCTAGCACTTTCTCGTGCCATAGGAAGGGACTAATAATTTATTTTAGTGCTAGCAAAACTGACAAACGACTTGTTTTTACCCATTGAACCTTCTTCATGGGATCACCAATCACAAAGGTTGGGTTGCCATCGCTGTCAACTTCAAGTGGCTTTAGTCCCATTCCCCTCGACTGATTTGTTTCTTCATAGGGTTATTAACAGATTCGCTAGGTCCACTTTGACCTCATAAAGTTGATTGAGATACCTCCACAATTTTTAAGCATGCTTATTCACATTGTATCTCAAGTGATTTCCATTTGCACCATTGTTCTCTCTACAATGGTTGTTGCCATTTAGCAATCACAACTCATCAACAAGTGTCAGTTTTACACCAAAACATCTGCTAAGAAATTTTCAGCATCTTAGCCTCTAATCACCACTAAAGGTGAATGATCACTAGTGAATTTCTCTCATATAAACTGAAATTCAGTTAACATCCGTGTATCTCTATATCATGGGAATCCACTGTACTTGATACCAAAATTTATGGTACCCCTTGAATATTTCATTTCCCTCATAGGACTCCATATTTAAATATGTATTCATCCTTACAACAAAAGTTACATCACAATAATTAATTTAATACAACAAATTCTCAAAAATTTGTGTATACACAAATTAAGCTGCATAGCTATCTCAAATGAAGTATTAGCATCATAAGGAATATTCACATACTGGTTCTCAAAACCAATTTAAAACACTTTTCTCATAATCTCATTCCTTTATGATTTCAACACTTAAAACCACAAATAATGATATTATAAAAATTAATGCAAATTTGTCTTTGTGCTAGATAAATTACTAGATTTTCATATCCAGATAATGCTTGTTTTAAGAAACACAAAAAATTTGATAATTCACAAAATTTGCTCTCAATAGCAAATAACAAGGTTCCTAATTATTTTTTCCTCCCCCCTAATCTCAACACACATATTGAAATTTCCAAGATGAGACTAACACAATTTGAAATAAACTAAAACATATTTTTATCCACCAATATTATTTCTGTAAGGTACCTCATATTTTAGGCACCCCCACACTTTCAAATATAGAAAAATTATTTACATATCTTATCAATAATAATTCTAATTAAATTAGAATTTCACACCAATATCTCCCCCCATTCTGATTTCATAAGGAGTCACAACAGATTAGATTTAAAGTTTGTTCCCAATGCCAAGCTATTAAAATCACCACATAAAAATATGAATACATAGGATATAAAATGTTCCATTCATATAATCAAATATTTTCATCAAAATTGTCATTACGTAATGTGTTTTAAATTCCACCAACAGGTTTAATTGTACACATAACGGCAATATATTAAGACCCACAAAAAATCACTCACATGGCATTTATATATAGGGGGTTATGAAACTCATCACATTGATGTTACAATACATTTTTATATACAAAGCCAACAGCACACTAAAATAATTATTTAAAGAGAGAAGACGTTGATGGAACAATAGGAGGTTAGCAGCTATTCAAACCAATTTAATATGCTCATCAACCGAAAGCAATAAAACCTCAGCAAATGGAAGGAATTAAATTCACCGGAATACTCATTAACTAAACCCAATAAAACCCCCAACATTAAGAGTATATATATATATATATATATGGAGGTTACGAAACTTAATATAACAATTAACTTCCAGAATTTCCAACAAGATGACCATATATGAAATCACGCCATGAACGCCATTGTTCACATTAATGAATATTTAACTTTTTTTTAATTCTAAGCATAACAGTAATGAACCCAATAAAGGCAGTAACGGATCAAGGGAATATAATATATATTCAAAACCCATAAAATCTAATCATATTGCACTCATGCAACTGGTTCACACATGTTAATGTTTTCCGTTTCCACATTGATTCCACCCTCAGTATTTATAAATGGAAACTTATTATGTGATTACTTCAAAATTCATTCTTTATGAATGTCTATGTAACCGAAAGTCATTCACTTGTCTAATTCACGAAAACAGCCCGTGAACTCCATCAATCAGTCAATTGATACATACTAAATACAAACACCATTCAAAATTGCAGCTTCTACAAATTAGTCCTACATTGAATTTTGTATATAAGCCTCAAATAAATGTTTCCACACAACGCAATGAATTTTCATCAATTCATGTAAAATCTCCTTTCCCTTTTGGAAGAGGGAAAATCCATTAAAATATAAACATCCTACTTGTCTATAATCACTGACTAGGATCAGGAAAGAAACACACATTAGCATATAGACGCACATTTGCACATAGACGTTAAGCCGGGTACAAAATTATTAAGGTTTTTCCTAGTTCATAGAACACAAGAAACAACATCACACTCACAAAAGTTGTTCTTGCTTAAAGAGGAGTAGTACCTGATCGGTGCGATGTGAAGCAAGACTTCCTTTTAGGTTCTGATCAATCCCATATAGTTTTCTCCAAGCACCTTCACCATTATCACAACGTTTATACCAAGACTTTCTATCCAGACTACAGTGTCTACAAGGTCCTAAGTGAGTCTGGTCAAAAAGGCTAAATTGGCACTTGGTGTTCATAACCACCATGACCCAACTGAGCATATAACATATGCCTCATCAACCAACTCTACTCATAAATATCAATATATGATCAGACCCACTGCCTCAACACATGCTTTCATCGGGTTCACAAATCACCACACTAGGCAACCGTGCCCGGGTACTAATGTGAGTTAGAACTCAAACCACAGATCATCCCTGGCCTCTACATTTACCAAAGGTTCATCCCTTGTCATCTCAATTCTTCATTAGAGAAGAAGAGTAGCAGCTTATTTCAGCCAATTTCTCTGTTATGCAGTCTCAAAAATGTCCTGAAAGAAGGCACAAATAATGTGAGACCAACTCAATATTCCTCTTATTCAAGAGAAAATAGAAATAGGAGTACTAAAATAGGACAAAGCTCAGACGCCTCCCTCTTCGGTAACTTTGCCGCCAATGAATGCGAAAACGATTGATGCAAGTAGCTCTTAAGATTGTTGGCGGCAACACCAAAATTCTCCAAGATCTAGCAGATCTTCCACCTCCTCTATAATGCTAGGCAAACCCTGTTGACAGCAACACCTGTAGAGAACGGTAATTTTCCATAATTTTATTTTCCTAGGGCAAAAAAAAAAGTTTATAGGCTTGGCAATATATATTATGCTCAAAATCGAAAAGCCCTAATTTAGGCCACGCGGCTTCATTTGTTACTATTAAGCTGATTTTGGCGCAGCGCTTTTCCCTCAATTCTGTATGTATATTAAGACATGTGATTTACATGATTAAAACTTGTTCAAAATAATTTTTAACTGTTAAATTAAATTTTAGAAGCGTAACCTCTATTAATTTCATGAAGAATAACCTGATATCTTGTTGGGTTCCCTTCACCATTTTACGATTTTAACTTCGTGGTTAGTGCTTTGAAGTTTTCTTTTCCTGATGGCAGTGGCAGCATTACAAGAGTTTGCACTTTTCCTTTTGTAACTTCGAAGGTCGAACGTTGCAAACAAATTACAGTGTTTTGGTCCTGCTCCGAATTACTCTACAAAACCACAAACAATAAACCAGAGAATCAAAAATGAAAACAAAAAGAAAGATAATCTTCTCACGCGACGACCCTTTTCAGTCGAATCAATGGAGGGATGCTGACATTTGTGGTGAAGATGAACAATCTCCACAAACAAAGGTGGCTGCTACTGCGCGGCGGGGTTCTCTACTTGGCCAAGTCTTCCCAACACGCATTTTAAACTCTACACTAACAAACACCATCTCCGATCATAAACATATACAAGAATTTGAGTAGATTAAAAAAATAATAATAAATTAGTAATTTATAATAAATAGATATTATCTTTGCTATTTGCTAATCAAATTTATTGGTTAGAACTACTTTTGTTAGAAAGACTATCTTTAAAAAATTATGTAAATATGAAAGACAAAATAGATTGAGATCTTATATTTAGGACCAAATAAAAGTCAAACAAAATCTTATATTAAGGATCAGAGGTAGTAGCAAATAATATAATATTCCTCCAGTCCTTAATATAGAATATAATTTGAGAGTTAATATTGGTCCTATATGTAAGACCCATTCACATATTTATCAATGCTTTTTAAATTAACCATAATAATATTCCTTCAATAATAATCAAATGAGAGATGGAGGAAATAAATTAAAGAAGATAATTAAAGTATTTTAAAAAAACCATATCATATTAACTAATTTAACTAATATATTTAATTTACTCAAAATAATTAATTAGGTTTTATATCAAGAGTCGAAGAATATAAGATTAGCTAATTCAAAAACCGGATAATGGTACAGTGACATTGACCATGAAGAAGAATGGAGCCACTGGAACTGAACACGAAAAGGAGGACAAAATTATTTGAAATTTTTTTAAAAAAAATAAAGAAATGAAACCATTAATATGTACAGACCTTTATCACGATCCTTGGTTATTTTTAATCTAACGTTTTATTTTCTCCCTTCACTCTCCCACCTCAGCCTCAATTCTATTTTCTTTCCTTTCTTCTTCGTTCCCTGAACCCAGAATAACATTGCATGCATCACCAGTCCCGCCTCACACACTTAGGATACAAGATCATCCTTTTCAGCTTACGCCAGTGTTACTGCCGTCGTCAAGCTAAAAGATTCCCAAAGTTTGACTCTTGCTTCAAATTTGAGGTGCGACACTCCTAAATCTTAACAAAAATCAAAGTGACCCAAAATATTCATGCCTCACGAGTTTCTTCATCAAATCTGGTTCGCTCCAAGGTTCGACACTCCTATACCTTTTCCATCTTCTCCATCAAAAATGCTTTTGAAGATTCATATCTTAGATTGTCTAGGCACCTACGACTTTAAGAAAGAACTAATAGGTACTACTGTCTCTGATTTTTAATATAAAAACTAGTTTGACATTTAATTTCGTCTTAAATATAAGATTTCTTATCAATTTTATCTTTCATATTTATCTATTTTTTTCGGAGTAGTCATTGTAATAGTTGCGTATGTTAAAAGTTCTATCAAACGATAATTTTAGCTAATACATATGATTATTAAGAGTATTCTAGAAAAAATAACATATTTATTAC